AATTATAAAATTATACAGTCTAAAGAACAGTGCAAAGGAAACCATCAAGTTAATAAATTAGCATCAGTCATTTACAGAAGCATTAAAAAGTATTATACACTGGTGTTAAAAATTAAGAGAATTCTCATATTTGATCAATGATCTCCAGAACTACTGGACAGATTTTAATCAAATTTGGTGTGAACATAGGTTGATATAATAAAAACAAAATAAACATTCAACAGTTATAATAGACACACATGTTTGTGTGTAACACTCATGGGAGTCTGAAGGTCTGAAACAGTGGTTGCAGAAGACACAAAAGAAATGGGTTATTAGGGGGTATGGTCCCCTCTTACAGCCATACAGACCTCGCAGCGTGATGTCAAAATGGAAATAAGGCAGTTTATCAGTGCCTGTGGCAAAAGGTCCCACTCATTCAGCAATGCTGTTTTCAGTTCCTGGATGGTTCTCGGAGGGGGGTTGCGAGTTGCAATTGCCCTCCCCAGAACATCCCAGACATGCTCTATAGGGTTGAGGTCTGGAGACCTGACTGACTAATCCATCAAGCGAATACTCTCACTCTTGAGAAATTCGTCGACCAGAAGAGCTCTATGTGACCTTGCGTTATCCTCCTGTAAGATGAACTCGGGGCCCACTGCACCCCCGGAAAAGGTGAACAAAGGGCTCCAAGACTGCATCCCTATACCTCACACCAATTACAGAGCCTCTGTCAAAGACGTGGAGAGATGTGTTACCATCCAACATGATGCCTGCCCACACCATTACACCGCCACCTCCATAATTGTTGATTTCACGGACATTGGAGGATAGATAGCAGGTCCCTGGCTCTCTCCATATGAAAGTATGGTGAGAATCGGTGTTTAGGCTAAAACGGTACTCATCGGTGAACACACTAGTCGCCCATTGCTCCGTACTCCAATCACTATGCTGCCTGCACCATGCTAACCGGACTCTCCTGTCCGTAGACGTGAGCAGGATGCAAACAGCCAATCTTCTGGCAAACAACCCTCTCTCATTCAGTCTTTTGAAGACAGTCACCCTTGTTACATGGGTTCCTGTGGCTGCATACAGGTCCCGAGAGAGCTGAGAAGCTGTAGCCCCTCTGTTACGCCTCACTAAAATGTACAAATAGTAATCTTCTCTGGCCATCGTGGTTCTTGGACGATCTTGCCCAGGCTTTCTCTCAATGGATCCAGTATCCTGGAATTGTTTCCATAGGTGCAAACTGTTTCCATGATGCTGGGCATTAAATTAAACTCTCTGCATATCTGAACTTGCGATTAGCCTGCCTCTAGCGTCCCCCCAATTCACCATCTCATTCCATCATCTAAACGTTTGTGGTTACTCATTTTTACTGTTCCAATGTGAATTTAACCGATTGCTGCAAGATAACACCAAGAAATTCGCCGAGGTGTGCTAGCGAACGCAATTCGTCTTACCCTCCACATGCTTATAAGTCCTATTTTTCTGCTGGCTCGGCCTACACACACGAGTACGCTTACATATTTGCCGTACAAGATTTGCATTTTATCTAGAAGCAGTGGTTTTTTTCCTTCAGTTCAGTTCTTTTCATGCAATTCAATAAAATATGCAAATTCTCTTAATTTATTTCACCAGTGCATATACATGTATTAACAGCATGATTTTTATGTTTTGCTGCTCCTTACATATGGCTGGCCTGACGATGCACTTGTAGGTAAAACAAAAAAATTGAAAGAATTCTTTCTACTGAACAAATATCTGTTATATTTTGTACAAACACAGTATAGACATCAAAAACTGATTTGCAGTTTTTTGCTTATACTGAATTTACTTTAGTATGAAAATTTTTGAATCAGTCATGAAGATGCAACATAAACTTAGGTACTGTCGCAACTGGCGATCTATCGATTTTCATTACTTAATTAGTTTTATAACAGATGATGCCATCTCTTTTTTCCATCATTTCATCGCATAATTTGATGTGCTATCAGCCAATGAGACAGCAAGATAGAGCATGAAGCATATGAGCAACTACACACAACTACCTCAACGTTTCCCGTTATTTCATCACATGCTGAAAAATAAAAGCTACAGAATTTTATCAAGTGATAGCCACCTATGAATCAATGAATCAATGAATCAATATCTTCACCAAAACCAGTTATTCTCATCACAGAATAGCCTTCCTGCTTGTCTAAAGTGTTGTGGGGAAACTTGTGAAGTCACAAGAAAGAAAAAAAAAAGGGAAGAAATACAAAAGTCTGAGATGTTCCTGCAAAATATGCCAAACATATTAATCAATCAGAAAAATAAACACCTTTTTTTATTTTTTTATTTATTTATTATTTTTGAAAATGTGAATAGTCACTGCAACAGCAAACTGTCATTATCAGAGATTCTGCAGCTTATGTTTTACTGGAGTTAAGATATTTCCCAAGTGACCACTCAGATATTTACCAGCAAAGAATACCATGTGCAACTGGTTTAATCTTTGACAGGATGTCTGCATAGAAATGTTCTAAAAGTAACAACCCTTTGGCAGCCCTGGGCACATCTCAAAATCGACAAGTTGCCTCTATAAGGAAAGAGAAAAACAACTTCATACTCCTCAGTAATGAGCACGGTTGTCATTAAGTGATTTCAATGCAGAAAACATCATCAACCAAAGAAAACATGGCAAACGATTAGAAGGACCGTGTGTACTTGGGTTAACCTGGTGAACCAAAAAACTCGGAAAACGCTTCATCATAGAAGGAAGAGATTCCACAACATCCAGTGCTAAGTTATACCAGGGTCAATCATTATAAGTGATGAATGGCTTGCTTATAAGGGGCTGGCAAGATTAGGTTACTATCACAGGACTGTCAACCATCAGGAAAATTTTGTAAATTCTACAAATGGTGCCAAGACTCAAACTGTCGGATTTGGCTGGGGTATTTTGAAGCTAAAAATTTCCCGCAACATGGGAGCTATGACTCCAGAAATACTACCATGTTATATGGCTGAAGTATGCTGGCGATATCTTAACAAAAGAGATGACTCTTTTTCTAGCTATGCTGTGCAACATTCATGATGTATAATTATGTGTGGAGTATTTAATTTACAAAAACTAATTAACTGAAAAACAAAATATTGTAGATCGTCAGTTGCAACAGTACCTAAACTTAGTATCAACACATTTATGCTGTATGTCAACTTTTTTGCAAACAACATATATTAGTTAGATTAAATTTTTTATTTCTATTGGTGGTATTTATGCTGAAAAATGCCTCTCAATAAGCCACAGTGAATTTTTTTTTAATTGACTTTGGTGTTTAGTCATGACACATGATTTTTTTTCATGAATTTTACAAAGATATTTCATCATGGATACTTCTTTTTCTATAACTTACAAATTACATGGGCACTGAAAAGCATTATATCCAGCATGCAGAGAGAAAGCACTTTTTCTATACAACTTAACCATTTTTCTCATATTGAATAGTTTTCTAGCATACTGTCACATTAGTCTACTCAACTCTAATGTGTATTGCAAACAATAACAAGAAACTGCTTCTTTTATAGTCCTGCATACTGTCACATTGTACTCGATAGTATTAGCTATCTTGTCTTTCCAATAATACACTGCAACATTATCATTTTATGAAATCTAAACTTCATGTTATTTAAGTTTCTGACTAGAGAAAGTTTTTGGTATTCCACTATGATTTTTCTAACTGTTCCACACACAAGTTTTATTTCCACATAAATGATTTGCTATGGTGGAACTGTTAAAAAAAAATCTGTCCAGCTATGGTTTATACTTTTGCCTCAACTAGAGCTATTATTATTTTATTCTTGATTATGCTTATTTATGGGATATTCTGAAGTAGATCCTTGTAAATAACCAAATTTCAGTACTTTTATATAGCTCATAATTTTTTATTCCAAACTTTGACTGCTTAGCCAAAATATATTATTTAAAACTTACTTTCCTTTCCTATAACATAAGTGACTCATCTAGAGAAATACATTCATTAGGTGTCAATGACAGTCTATTATTACTACAAGTTGCAGTACTATCACTAAAGTGGATAATTCTCAATTGAAATGGAGAAAATTCAATAACAACCTGTTTTTTGGCACACGTTTGGGCAACGAAACATTATTTGTAAATGTTATTTTTGTTTTTGGAATTAAATCTTCAAAATTATTAAGGTGATGAGATTAAAATCATGATACATGAGATTAAAATCTCATATATTTTATCCAGCATTGTTGGTTTCTAAGTTTTAAAATGTAAACTTTTATACCTTTTAGTATTACTGAAGAAACTGTCAGCATTCCATTTTGTTTGCAAAAATATTCTGCTAGAGCTATCTCTAAAAAACATACACTGTAATGCTCATACCACTAATGTTTTTATAGGTGTGGCAGTCCATAATCCATTCACCAATTGAAGACACATATAGCTGAATAAATTTTTTCCCCCACATTTAATAATAGTGTTACTTCCTAATGCTTTCTAGTTGAAGTTTTAGAAATCTTCATCGATTTTTTAATCACTATATGAATTGTAATCAACTCACTTTCATACTTTGAACAACTCTCAAACAAATGTTCAACATCACTGTCAGTGGGTTCATTCTTGCAACAGCAAAAATTGCACACCTCAGAGAAAAGATTTCTTTTTTTTTTTTTTTTTTTTTTCCCAGAACAATCAATCAGAAAAAAATAGCGGTTTAAAACCTTAGAAAAATTAACCTGCCAAATGTTTTTAATGCATTTACAAAACAGGCAATTTCATCTGTAGTTTAAAAAAATAGTGCTGATAAGTAATTTCACCCACAACATGGAAATGCATAAATTTTATGGTGAGCATACTTGTCCATGGAAGTTAACAGGTTAAAAGCATGATTTTATTGGGCAATTAAAATAAAAGAGAAATCTGTCTTGGAGTTTCCACAGAATTTTCTAACAATAATTGCCACACATTTGCAAAGCACATAAAGAAATATGAAAAATTATATGTATACCACTGCAGCCTGTATAGCCAAAGCATCACAGCCTGGAAGACTGGATAGAGGACCATGTTTAGGCTGAAAATCTTGTAATGATGTATATAGAGCTCCCAAACCAAGTTGGCCAACTACAGTTGAAGCTTGCTCACTTACAAGGGTATCAAGATGAGCATCAATCTAAAATCATAAATTTTTTTAAAGTGATTTGTATGTTATAATTAAAACATAACATACACAGTCAAAAAAATTTTCATTACTTTGTTATATGATTTGTTAATTCCTGACAAGTAACATTTTTTTATTATCACATAGGATACTTATTTATTAATTTAATAAAAAAGTAAATATATAAAAATGCATATTTTCCAACTAGTAAAAAAAAAAAAAAAAGTACATAGCATTCATTCTTTATGCTATTTTGATGCCAGAAACAATTTTAGTGGAGGATTTCTAAAATTTTAGGATGATTATGTTATATGATGTTATACTACCACATACTCATTATCCATGTAACTTGGCAATGTTATCAGTGCAGAAAACGTAACATGTTTAACTTACTTTTATTCAGACTTTGCAAACAGACAATTCTCAGAGTGTTGCCACTGGGCCAAAACATTAGATTTTATATTTATCTTTTTAATTTAATTGATTTCTAATTGCTTAAATAAACAAGTCATTAAAAATCAATAATGCAATTTTTAGTAATTTAAATCTTTATTTTTATTTTTCAATATATCTAATTGATATAAATTAAGATATATTTCATTTGTAATATCACCATCTGATAATTTTTATGAACCTTTGCAGCCTTAATTGTAATTAATTAAAGATGCCTCTAATGCCATGTATTATGTATCTGGTTTTTCAAATTAAAACTTTCAGAGCTTCAATGATTCCTTTTATTAATGATTTGATTAGATAATTAAGATAAATACAGTCACTTTTATTTTTTATTTTCTCAAAATGATTATTTCTTCAAACTGAATGGCAATTAAATTTCAAAATACTGCTAAACTAAACAAAACAAAACAAAAAAAATTATAAATAATTATGCTTACAAAATCAAATGTAGTATACTAAGTTATTCAAAATTAAATACGCTCATTATATAATTACTATGAAAAAGATTTATTTATATATATTATATATATATTTGTAAAATAAATTCCATAATCAAGAATACACTTAAAATTCTAACTGTATGTTTTTTCATTTTTAATGTGACGTTCTCTTATTTGAAAGTACGTGGAATTAAATCCACGCCCCGTAGTAAGTTGTTTCCCGCCTTTTCTACACGTAAGTTATAGAATGTTCTGGAAATATTTAAAGTGAACTAGATTGCGACGAGGCTGACGTCATTCTTGGAAGCTTGCCTTTCCAAAGCTATAAAAGGACTCGCAAAAGAATATCGGCTTTTCTTTAATGTCATGTATGCAGAAAACTTCATCAAAAAGTTTTAGTAATTCTTTTTATTTACTCCCAATATCTGATTTGGAACTGCTATTTTCTCTGAATATAATAAATGGATCCTGTTTTTTAAAACTTATCGTCTGATAATTTAAGCTATGACAAAAGCTGGTACATCACACACATATATATATATATATATATGGAGAGAGAGAGAGAGCTTTAATTTAATCCATCAGATTTATATATTACAAGAATAATAAATTTAAAATATAAAAGAAAGAAAACTGTAATCCACATTTTTTAAATATTGATTACCTGAGCTTGCAGCATTTCCAGGTGTTGATCTGTATATTCAAATAACATTAATGTAGAATGTATTAAATAAATACAATTTGCAAGATACGTAGCCATATCTGCACTTGCTAATTTGGAGGCAGAAACATGACACATCTGAAGCAGTGGTTCAATTACTGTAGCCAGAATCTGTAGGCATTAAAATATACTACGATTAAGAAAAATGTTTCATAAACTTTTAAAACAAAGTTGACTTTTATGCTAATAATATCACCTGCGGTACATCTTTTTGCCTGTCATCAACAGACACTAGACATGCATCTTGGCAAGACAACACTTCACAAAGCAATCCAAGGCTTTGCTTCAGAGCTTCGGGAGGCCCCAAATCTGCAGGAGGCATTTCAATTTTCTCCAAAACTCTGCTACAGTGACACGTTAAGCTGTTGTAGAACATTTTTTGGGATAAAAGATACATTTCTTCTAATGTAGTCAGCAGAGCAGCTTCAGTGTTTATTACTTGTCTGTTAGAGAAAAATGAAAATATGTATTTTACTTGAATGGCACAAATAAATTTTACAGCTTTTGAAATACATAGTACAGTACAAAGTCTGTAATCCAGACGTCCATTATCCAGAATGATCTATAATCCGGACCTCAAGGCCACAAACATTTTTTTTTTTTTTTATATGCTTTACACATGCGCGTAATGCGTTTATGCAAGCGTGTTTAATGCTATGCATGCACGTTTAATGTTTACGCATGTGCATTTAGCACAGAAAACAAAACAACTTACATTGAAAGAAATGTTTAATAAAGTAAACAAATAAATATTAAGCTTTTCTTTTTTTTTAAATTTTGATACCCTTTAGATCCTAATTGCTCTTTATTTCATAAATTATGGTTTCATATTTTTAATTGTATAACTTCTGCATGCCAACTTACCAGATTTAAATTGATGATCTATAATCTGGAAAAACTCTTAATCCGAAATCGCCGAAGTCCCGACGAGTCCGGATTACGGACTTTGTACTGTAATTATTACTGACTACAATTTGTTTTATCCACAACATGATGCAAAACAACTCAAATATTCTATTCAACAAGATTTAAAATTTTCCATTAAAATATATCTTACACTTTTGATTAATAGCTAGGAACTCACTAAATAGATAAAATGGAATCTATTTAGAATCAGCCTATTTGTTTTTCAATTACATGGTTTTTACAAATATTTCCTTTGTTTTCTAAGTATCAGCTGTTTTTTCCAGGGAATTTCATAATCATTTCAACTTATTACCAGATTCTGCATTTAAACTGCAGCAAGTAGCATGTAAGTGAAAGTATGCAAGAAGCAGAATCAAAAATTTTGAGGAGAATAAGTTTAATTCCCAACTTGCCAAACATAACTTGAATTATTTTACACAGGCTAACTCTTCTTAAGACATTTAAATACATGTATGCCACTTCCGAATCTTTACATCCCTCTTTAAATTTTCTGTTTTCTCCTAATTGTAGTCTTCCAGTATTTATTAACGAAGTATTGTTTCCATTTCTTCTTTCAAAGACATTTTTTTCCCTTTGAGTTGAATTTCCTTCCACTCTTCCAGGCTTAATTTTTCAGTTTTTTTTTTTTTTTTTTTTTAATTTTTTCCAAACCTCCTCATTTTTGTGTTTTTTCGTTGTATAGCATTTAGCGGTCTCTGTGTTTTCTTGATATAACTATCCTCTCGCCACATTTCATTTTTATTAACTTTGAAGAAAACAAATCAATACACTTTCGCAAAAGGATGAAAAATTCTCATCCATGCTAGTTTTTGTGCTTTTTACTCATGAATTTTAATTGCAGTGCATAGAAAGTCCAATACAATGTCCTGTACAATTGCCTGTACAGGCCTGTAATTTTTATTCCACTTTGTTAATTTATTGCTTGGAAATCTGAAATATATGACTTATACAATGTTCTTTTTCCCATTTCACACTAGATAATGTGAGTTTTTCATATACCTACTACAGGTTTTAAAGAACTACTTGATGTGTTCAAAAGCTCAAAATCTCTCACACTTATGCAAATGCCACACATGTATCTTTATTTTGTTTACTACAGACTATTTTAAAAAACTTAAATACATAAGAAAATTTATAATTTTTTCCTTGAATAATAATGAGAAAAAAAAAATAGTTTGTGAAGAGCAAAACACTTTGCTTTCATGAAAAGTCTTATGTGTGGGGGTCACATCAAGCAGAACTAAAGAAGAGGGGAAAAAACTTACAAGGCCTAACAAAATATAAAAGAAAAATGTTCAGTTTTTAGTCAGATAAATCTTGAAAGAATTGGTAAAAGCCTAAAAAGAAAGGTAATATCCTCTATCAAAAAATAACTTCAGTGTACACAGAAGTTATATCCAGTATGCATTTTCCTACTGTATCACGAGACTGTGTGTTGTCATGTCACAGAACAATATTCAGAACACAATAATAAAATGACATTTTATATGCATTGCCATGTATCAGTGTTGACAGAAATTTTTCAACTAAAGTAACATAAAAAGTCACATAAAGTAGCACATGACGCGATTTTTATAACCTCATAGCTACCCTACGTTCGCATGAGCTCTGATGTCTCACAAATTCACTCTCCATTGGTTATGTAAGTTACAGACTGTAATTTAATTATCTGCTGTTTTATTTATGTATCTTAGTTTCAATGAAAATTTTAAAACTATACTGCTCATTTTTCATCATTTAAATATCATTTCCTTTCTCAATTAATTCACAGTTGATTTAGATTTTTATTTTAAAATTTATCTGTGCACATTAAGTGATTCCTTACATTTAGATTAGCTCATTTTATTTAAAATTAAAAAAATTTAAATATTTCATTTTAAAACTAACAAAGTAACATTTCAAATAAAATGTATTATAGAACAAACACAGTGGATACTAAGGCAACCATTCATGATTCCAGATAATTTTGACTTTCTGTGCAGGTAATAATTTCATAATGGTATTATTAATTTTCTTCTTGTAAATACAGACTATTTTCAGAACTGATTGCCTCAAAGGGATCATATTATGTGCTGCAGATATATATATATGGTGTCATAGAAAAATAAATGACTAAAAAACTGTGACTTTAAAAACAGTTGCTATTTTACTTTCTCTTTCATTAAAATAACCTACTCGTAAGCACAGATGCTTGCAACACGAAAAAACAAGAGAAAATGGGGATTTTTTAATTTCAGTACTTATTCTTTGAGCAATTCAGGTGAAATAAACATAAAATCTCTGATGAATTTTCTTAAAAATTTTCCTTGAGCAATCAATGGATTGTATGAATGCATCGGAAGCAATACATACACAAAGTTTTAATCCAAACTCATTTATGCTGTTCACATTTTTCAAACATAAATTTTCCCTGGCTACTTACAGATCACTAAAATATTAAACAAAGCAATCAATCAGGCATGTGACAACACCAGTGAGTAGCCCTGAAAACTGTTTGTGCCAGATGCCAAAACCTATGTAAATTAATTTTTATTATGAATTATTTTTAATATGGGCATTGTTTTAACATATTAGCTTTTTGCAATACATTATAAAACCTTTAAAGTTGCAAAAAGTAGCACAAATGATGAAGAAGTAAAAATTCCACACGGATACATAAATTTAACAGGTTTGTCAAAAGTAGCAAATTTGCAAAATATTGCACAATCTGGTAGCACCGCCATGTATCACTAGATTTCAATAAATCTTAGAAAGTGATTTAGAGTCAAAACTGATATCACTTTGGACTGTTAAATCTATTACAAGACAATTGTACCAATTAAAAGATCATTTAACAGATCATGCTGATGGCCATCATACATACAACTAGATCCTGGTCTTGAACTTTAAACAGAAACATTATTTAATAGCTGATATAATTTAAACTTCAATTTTTAATAAATAAGTCAAATACAAACTAATAAGTATGCAAATATAAATTAATAAGTATGCATTTTGTGAAAAATATAGCATTTCATTGTAAAACTAAATGCAATGTGAATTCGCAGTACCTAGAACAGTAGAGATCTTTAGTCAATTAAGAGTAAACTTGTATATATACACTGCGTTTGCTCTTACTCAGCCATTCAGTTCTTACTCAGCTTGCATAACTTAATATGTTTACTATTAGGCGATGCTATTTAGTGGCAAAACTTTATTAAATAAAGCAGATTTTTTTCTCCAGCATGCGAGACCGTTTCCATTTGGAAAAAATTAGGATGAAAATTAGCGTTTTCAGAATTTTTTAATTAACTGCATGGTTGATTAAAGTCATGCAAAGATAAGAATGGTCAAAATGGCATCCCACAAATTTTCAGAATCTGCCAGGGGGGGGGTTACTTCTCTTGAAACTCAACTCCCCGCCGTTCCAGAGGAGATAATACCACAAATAGACAGACAGATGAACACAGATTTTAATAGTATAGATACTCTATGAAAAAGATATCTTTTTTGAGAAAAAAAAATTACATTGATCAATATTTTTCACAATAATTCAACATAGAAATTCTCGGCACATAATCTCTTAACATCAGAAACCTTTTTCTAAAGAATATTTTATTTTTTGTTACATGCAAATTTACTTCTTCAGTTTGTGTATGGCCCCTGAATATGATTCTTAATTCTATATCAAATATCTTGGCCAACTTTTGTCATACAGGAGTCAAAGTTTTGTGTTTTGTATTTTAAAACAATAAATAAAACATAAAATTTTCCCTAATATAAGTAGGGAACATATAAAAAGTTAGATTTTGTAATTTTTACAAAACTGATTTCTTTAAATATAAAATGCCCAAGCATAAATCTTTGTGTCATTTGAAACAATTTTTTAACTGGAAGTACTAGATTTAGGATAAACAGTTTCAAAAATAAAAGGCAGGTAAGAACTTTGGTGGGCATGATGTATGTCCTACTGTTTTGCAGAATAAATATTTCAATAACATTTTGTGTAGCTGATTTCAGCATCAAAATCATAATATTGTAATTACTATGTTGTGAGGGAAACAATGGAACTCCAAATAGCCAGACTACTCAGTCATCAGGAATTACACTTCAGAAAAACTATCTGTGCTTCCCTTAGTTTAACCGCTTGGTCAGTACCAGGTAAGGACTTTTGTGGGCACAATGTATAACATAACACAATTGCATTACAAAATTTGAAACATTTAATTTTTACAAGCTATATAAACAATATATGTCAGATTTAATTATATTATTAATATGAAGACTTACTTTATAGTATGCAAGTAAAATTTCAAAACAGAACCTAGTTTGAACAAGATAACAGCTCCTTGTTCTGAAACAATAACTTGTTCAACACGGACTTTAAGTGGTCTACAAAGTCCCTCTGTTATGTGTGATAAAGCAAGTTGAATTTCATTATCTAATTCTGAAATTAAAAATGAGATATGGTTGTTTATCTCAGCACACACATGACTTATAATACAATAAACTCATGTAGCAATTAACACAATATAACAAACAGTGCAAAATTTTATTTTAGGATGTTTTTTAAAGCAAAAACAGATCACTATGTACTTAGGGAGAAGAATGGTACAAAAAATTACAGAAAGATTTGGTGAAGAGTGTGTTTTATTTTTTAAATATATCACGTAATCCTTATTTAATAATTAAAATTTATATTTTAAATTGCTAAAGTATGTTTTCTTTTAATATGCTGATGTCTGCTGACATATATAAATATTACATAAATATTGACAGCTTCAGAATCTTTCTAAAAAAATTGAGAAAACCACAAACACTTGCACCCAATAAATAACTTTCACCTCTTCATCTGCAAAAAATCACCAAATTGTGCCAAGGTGGTTTCATTAATATGTAATTACCAAAAATGGATAGCTAGATTACAGAATTAATTTTTGATATTTCAGGCTACTTACCTTTACCTGAACATTTCTTTAGAACAGCTTCCAAAATTTCTTTCTCTGATGCTGTTGCTTGATGCAACCAAGCTAACATATCTCCAATATAACGTAGTGGATCATGAGAGTGCATTTCAATAGGTCGAGGTGTCCCACCAGAGCCTTAAATGTGTATCAAATTAAATAAAAAAAGGAAACATTCTTACAAGCAATTCTTGCCTTACAAGAATAACTGTATTGTATTGGACAAACATAAAATAAATTAAAATAATATTATCACAATAATATCCAAGTCCTACTTTAAATAAATAATAAAATGTTGTTTTTGCTATTTCTACAACCTTATTTATGTATTTAGGCATAATTTTCGATGCAGACTTTTAACTATGTAGGGGAAAAAAATAGCCAATCATTTTAGATAAAGTCTGGTTTTTGTGTCAAAAAAATAGGTCGGTGCAACACTATATACATAAATCTAACATTCTAAATCATCCCTTTGTTACATGAAAGTGCAGTTTAAACCCTTTCAATCAGCTAAAAAGATCAGAATAAACAATATAGAACTATCTACTCTACTTTTTGTTTTTCTGCACTAAGTACTTTAAAAAACATATTAAGTTATGTGCAAAAAAAGTCGATGCATTCTTAAATTGAAAAAGAACAGAAAACACAAAAGTAAAGTAACTATTATTATATATAATTGTCATTGTTATGTCATCTATCTGGTAGCACATGTTACTGGCACTTATGTGTTATTGTAGTGACCTTCGAAGAAGTCACCAAATTTTCAGAATGTGCTTAACTCTGGCAAACATGCACATAACCACTATTCAGGCAAACATTTTCGAAACAATCCTTCAGTCAACCAATGCCAGACTTCATGTTGCCTCATTTTGCTAAGTAATTAAATGTTACCATAATGCTACTATTTTTGTATGTGTTCCTTTTTTGTTGTAGACCAAGTTCCAATGGTTTTTATAAACAAATCATGATATTTTTTGCCTTAAACTTAGTTTTAAAATATGAGCTTCTGGAATTAGCCAGCAATGGAAGAAACTGTGGTAAAATTTCTGCAAGAATACAAAAAGGGAAGTGCGTTTCCTTGATATCCACTGTTGCAGAGGTTTGTAACAATCTTCTTCTTCTTCTTCTTCTTCTTTTTTTTTTTTTTTTTTTTTAAGTGGAAACAGATTGCTGTGTACTTCAAAAGAAGAATTGCATAAAAAAATACAGAAAGATTTGGAGACCAATGTAAGTGTTTTGTTTTTTAACGTATCATGAAATCCTTATTTAACAACTAAAATCTGCATTTAAAATTGCTAAAATATGTTGACTTTTCATATGTTCAAAACATTTATCAACTTACATAAATATTGACATTTTGGGAAGCTTTTTAAAAAAATATCAAAAAAATCACTGACTTGTACTCGATAAGTAATGTTTGCTCTTTCATCTGTAAAAAACTGCTACAGTGGTTACATTAATACATACGTACCCATTTATCTCATACCCCCCCCCAAAAAAAACCTCCTGTGATTTGGGATTAAAAAATTTGTAATATTATTTTCACAGCCTCATCATCAAGAAAAGAAAAACTGTTTTTTAAGTAACAAATGAGATGGCAGTCTGCTGGGAGAATGTCAGGAGAAAATCTTCGATGTGTTAACACTTCCAAATCCAAGTCCAATAAATTTTGCTAAGTAATTAATTACTTAGAAATATGAGGAAGCATGAGGTCTGTCATCAACACGATGAAAGATAATGTCTTTTCAAATAATGAGTGTTAGATGTGATGTCAGTTCTCTTCTCAATTTAGTTAACTGCAGGCAATAGATGTCAGCATTCATTATTTAGTTACATTACAGTAAATTATTCTCACGGCATCTTGTAAAGACCATTAGGTATTTTATTTCAGAGCAGTAAACTTGAAAAATGCACAGTGCCCTCATCAGGATTCAAACTCCAGACCTTCTGATGATAGCTGCCTGTGCTTCCAAATACACAATAAAGGCCTGGGATAAGGAGGGAGAAAACACCTTATAATTCACCAAGCACTTTAAATATTCTTGGGATATAATCATTCTTCTGATGGCAAGATTCTTGGAACTCAGTATATTTTCCTTCAAAGCTTAGCATTAAGTATGGTGCATATTTCTTACCTCCTGTTACAATTTGTTCCATAAATGACTAGATTCTGTAATGAGATAGCAAAGATGCATAGACAGATATTCTCTTCTCACTTTGTTTAACACAGAACTGGTGTGAACCAATGCATTGAACTTCACAAATGAAGTTGACACATAACTGCATCTATCTTTTGAATGTTGTTCAAGGTACCAACCTTGCTGCTAGTTTGTGAGTGGTTCAATTTTCCGTGACTTGATTCAGAATTTATCAGAAACTAATAAATCCACTCTATCTATCTAAATTCCATATTTTTTTAGACCAATCAGCAATATATGTTAGCATTGACTGCAGCCTTTCCATGCATCTAACAAATGCTATGGCGAACAATGGCTGCAACATTAACTTTTATCAGACTAGCATAGTACACAATGTCTGTTATGTTCTTTATGGTTTGCCATTTTTAAACTGTTAAATGCATTAATTATTCTAATAAATTCAGTGCCTTTATATACTTCACTCCCTCATTTTATTATTTTATGATGATTCCATTCAGTGTTACCTAAGACAGATGTTATTTCATTAAAGTCTCAGTTTATGGAACATGTAAAAATTTTGCACACACCCAATATATAATCATTTTCCTACAACTATTATTTAACACATGAAAAGTTAATGGCCTAAACTAGATTTCTTTTTTAAAAATGCTATTGCTTTTTCCATCATACATATGGACAAAGATATTAAATGGAAATAAATTTCTGACAATTACCTTGCAAGGTTTTATTATAAAAACATAACTATTCATTTGTTTCATTACTTAAATATTAAAAATTGGGTGTGAACTGATTCCACAAGTTTTTAAAAATCATATTCAAGTACTCTTGTTTCTCACACAAGAATGCAAATGAATAAAATAAAAAGCAGTGTACTTAGAGTCAAAATTCTTTTCCTGATTTTTAATCAGAAATTTTCAAAAATGCTTTGAAGTAACTTTGCTCCCCACCATTACATAGATACTAAAGAAATGTAACAATCACAATCATTTCTTAATTTTTATTTCTGATAGTAGAACAGGTTTTGCCTGCATGAGATTTTTCATGTTTTATCCCAAGTGTAATCTAAGAATACACCTAGTCTTTTTTTTATAAAGTTCCAGCATATAAATATATAATTTCCAACAGATTGTTTAAAAAATTTATACTAACTAATTAAATAACTACCCTTGCACTGAATTTTTTATAAAATGCCTAAAAATCTTATATTGAAATGCAGAGTTTGCAAAGAAGTTTGGAGCAAATTCAATGTTAAAAAGAGAAAAAAAAGCACATTTATTTATGGCCCAGGAGTTTTAAATAAATATATTTTCTCATTTACAGTTTTTTTCTATGTGATATTTTCAGCATCCTTTCCTTAAACTCAGTTGAAATTATTTCACATTATTTAAATAAATGCATAAATTAAAAAAAAAAAAAAAAAAAAAAAAGCACTTTGTATGACCCTAAGTGAAAGATTTTCAGTAAAATATTTAGGAGTTTAGGATTACAAACTATGGGAGATTTTTATTAAATGTTCATTGTTGTTAACACCCACTATATCAATTGTGATAAAAAATTTCATACAAATATCATTTCTTTTTTGTATGATAACAATCTAATATCAAAAATTGAGCTCAGAATAACATACCAAGAGAAAAAATAATACATGCAGAAATAAAAGGGTTGCTATAAAAGAGAACCCTGAGGTAAACTTACAATAGTCTATGTATTTTTCCTGTACTGTTATGAATTTATAAGAATAAATTAAGCACATACCACCTCTAGTTAAAGCATCAATAAACGATCTAACAACTGCTGCTCTACGAGCATTAGCATATTCATCTAGAGAGTATTTGAAGAGAACAGGACGATCTTGTAAGCTTTCCATAGCTTTGCTTAATAAAGGATTCAGCTCAGGAGAATCAACATTCAGTAATCTACATTCATCTAAAAAATACATGCTAATAATAATTATACAAATAAATGAAGTTATAATATATTTTTTACCAAAAAACAAAACATATTAAATATAAAAAACAGCATTCTGGTACATGAACTGACCAATTAATTGCATGAAAATTTTTAAAAATATTAATATTGATGTTCTTAAGTTATAAAATATAAATTCTATAAAATACATTACAATATTCATCTAACATAATATATCCCACTATACATAATTTTTTAAAAAGAACTATTCTCATATCATACTCTTATTCACAGAATAATAATAGATTCTTTTAAAAGAATACTCTTCTTTTATGAACTCAAAATAGAAAGTATGAAATCTTCTGCGCTATTTTCTTACCTATTAATAACATATACAATATATATATGTGTAACAGTATAATAAATTTTTATTTTAAAATAAATTATCCCAATATCATTTTCTTGCAAATGCTGCTGATAATGAATCATTTGTGAATCAACTGCGCTGGGGCAGGATTCAGAATTTTTGGGTGAACTGCTGAAATTAAATAATTTAGAATTCCTACTTGTCAACCTACGACACTTAAAAAATCAGGGCACTTTTTTTAAAGAATCAGGAGAATTTTTTTAATAACAAAAAGGTATTTAAATAATAAATATTTAGAAAGAAATATATTTTTAATAATGTATCAACTTTAAATAGTAACTAATTAATATGTGAAAATAAAATCGTAAAAAACTTTTTTTTTAACTTTAAATAGTTTTTGTTCTTGCACTTGAATATTTCTCAGCGATTTTACAGCAGAGAAACATTTTTCTAAAAAGGCTGCAGGATGATTCGATGCATTCAGCGACAGGTTGTTCCCAGTAAAAAGGCAGAGAACAGGCATTCTGCATTAATAACTTTTGGTCCTTTGTTTCCATAGAAAAGTTTAATTTTGTTTCCCAGTACAACTCACGTTGTCCTTGTGTACGAGGATGTTTAAGAACATCAGTCCTTCCGTCGTGCGAAATTGAAAAATCGCAATGGCAAATGATGCAGATTGTAATATTATATTTCTTTCATGAAATATTAAAAGGTCATCTGTGTACGATTTTTGAGAAGTACATGAGCATTTAACATTTTTCGCAGACATAACTAATGCAAAAGATCGTAGTTTCTTAAACTGCTTCAGAGAAGCACATGAAATTTACTCTACTCACTGACGAGATGAACAAAATAAACAATCTCAATCTTGCTTTGTGCTCATTGGCTAATATATGCCAGACGACCTGCAGTGGCTTTTGATTCTCATTGGAGAACTAACTTGGGAACACAACACTTCTCATTGGGGAACACGCTGTTTTTGGACATTTGCTTTGGACTCTCAAAGCAAAAACGTGCCATTTCTCAGGGATGAAATGACTCCGGTCTTTTTTTATATGCATATAGAAAAAGCAAGCGCTTTCAGATGCCAAAAATCACTTTTTTGCAGGCAAATAACAAAGTATTAACCCAAGCTACATAAAAGTCATGAGAAATTTTAAGAATAAGAGAAAGCCAGGAGAAATATGTTAAAAATCGGGTTGGCGGGAGTATGGTCAGAAATTGGGAGAGTTGGCAACTCTGAGAATGGTTAATCAGCTAATTTTGGATTATCAGAAATGCAGTGATTTTCCAAGGAAAAAAGGGTTCAATTACATCTGATCTACCTCCTCTTGATAACAAAATCAGATATTAATTGCATTCCACTACCTATATATTTTTTGTTACTTTTGTATTTCCTTTCTCTGTATTTCTATTGGTTTGATGACTATTGGTCAAAGAAGTGAATTTGGTTCTAAACTCCTTTCTTTTTTTATCTCTGTCTCTCTCTCTCTCTCTCTATATATATATATATTACATATACTTGAATATACATATATGGGGATTATTCAGAAGCTAAGGTTCAAATTGCTGTAGGTAGTTGCATGTTGCCTGAACACTGAAAAGCGCATGTGTGCTGACTTTCGACATGCCTTACTGGTCAAACACCATTTGCACTGGTATTGTTGCAGTGTGCTGTGTACTGTACATTTTAACAGTCAGTTCAAAATGTTTAAAACAATTGATTAACTCACCAACTGTGAAATACGGTCATGGATTTGTTTTATGACAGCAATGTTTCCCCCAATGCAATGAATGGCCCCAATGCAATGAATGACAGCAAAAAGCATCAGTGGGTGAGATGTTTCAAGGATGAACAAGAAAATGTGAGGAGACACGATGATGATGTGAACATGATGAGACATGATCAAGACAGTCATCAGTGATCACAGAAGATTTAGTCAATGCTGTGGATGAAAAAATTCTTGAAGACTAGTGATTCTCAATTTCAAATTTCGCACTGGAATTTCAGGTTGTGGATAGAACAACTTTGCACAAAATTGTCTCTGAAAAGTTGCATTTTCACAAATTGTGAGCATATTAGTATTCCAGGCAGCTTAATGAGGAACAACAAATGATTGTTTTTTTGGACTCATATCAGGAGGAAGCTGATCAATATTCAGAGAGAATTGTCACAGGGGAGGAGACATGGGTTTCTCACATGAACCCAAAGTCTAAATGTCAATCAATGGAATGGCATCACGTGGCATTGCCAGTCAGAGACAAGGCCAAGCAGAAAATCTCAACTCGCAAGGTTATGGCAACCATGTTTGGGAATAGACATGGAATCTTGTTAGTTGAATTTATGCAATAAAAGGCACCAATAAATGCTGCTGCTTACTTGACTAAATTTAAATGTGCAATACAGAATAAGCAACGTGGCTTTGTGACATCTGGAGTTTTGTTGCTGCACGACAATGCCTGACTCCATTCTGCCATTCACACACAAAATCTGATGAGATCTTTTAGATGGGAATAGATTGACTATTCACAGTACAGCGCAGATTTGGTGCCAAGTGATTTACACTTATCCTGCTACTTAAAGGAGTTTCTCAAAGGCAAGCACTTCGCCACAGATGATAAGAAGAAGCAGTCCAAGAGTTGCTATCCTTACAGGTGGCAGACATCTATAACTCGGGCATACAAAAGCTTGTAGAAAATTATGACAAATGTTTAAACAATTATAGAAAATATGCAGAAAAACAGAGAAATATGTAAGAAATTAAAAAACTTTTTTATGATTTATGTTTTGTAAGAAGCACCAGACCTTACTTTCTGAATAACCTACATACTATATATATATATGTAATTAAGTCATTAAGAAGTGCAGATAATGAGCACAATTGTATAATACATACTTTGCGTCCAACGATATAAACGCTCATAAGCAGCTTCTTGTTGCAATGCCATTGACTCCATAATTTCAATACTGTAAAATATCAATCATGAAATTGTAAAATATCAAATAAAATCACTATTAAAAAACTTGTGACTATAAGTACTAGCTTTTTCCAAAATTTATTTCTAAAGTAAAACACTACTCATGCATAATTTAAGGAAGCATAAAATATTTACCCAGCTGTTTGCTGACTAATGCGTAACAAAACTTTACAATTATTATGAATCTTCTTGACTTTTGCTAAAGCTTTGAAAAAATTCTGGAAAAGATACATTTTCAACATAAAGATTAAGAAAATAAAATATTTTTAAAGGAAAGATAAATTTTTTGCATATTTATTGTAGCATAACATTTAGCATTTTCAAAGATGACATAAGACTAGGATGAAAACAACAATGGCATTTATCAGACAAATAAGTATACTTCTATTAAACTCACCATACCACAATAGCTTTTATTTTTAATTATTTAAAATTAAGATTGCTCATCAATACATAATTTGCTATAGTAAACCTCAAATAAAATGATAGAGCTGTTCTTAAATTAAAAGACTGTGCAAATATAGGTTAAAGCCTTTATATTGATTTTTAAGATTGCTCTTAAAATATAAATATCTTTCTTGACGAAATATTATAGGTTCTTTTTCTTGGAGCATCAAATTCCAAGTTTTCACAATTATTATGAAATTAACAGCAGAAAACAAACACTATGCATTTAAAATTAACATTACAAACACTATTTAGATTATTAAACAGCTTAGATATTTTCTCTCCACTTATATTAACAATATAGTTCTTTTTTAAGTCAGAATATAAATTTCTTCAGTTCCAAATGTAACAACACATTCAAATATATTTTAAAGATATTAAAAGATACTTTCAAGCATTTTGAAGCATTGTTTCATCTTTCAGACACTTCTAAAATTACAAGGAATACAGCTAAATAGTAAATTAGTTCAGAAGATATGGTTTATGCATTAAAGAGACTAACATCCTCAAATGTTTAGCTTTCTTTCTTTTTCTTTTCTTTTTTTTTTAGTCCAAAGGGGCTTTGTCCCTGAAGGACTATTGTTTTCATTTTGCAATTTTGCGTTGATTCATTACAAATGACGAATCACTTTTCAAACTGTTGCCACAAAGTATTATCGCCCTGAGTTATATTTAAAGAAATTAAATAATGAAAAATCTGCATAAATGTATGTACATTTCTTGCATTGTGATAAAGCAATGGTACATAGACCTATTGAATTTTGAAGGATGTAATTCTCCTACAAATATGGCCATGTAGAAGACCAAATTTGAACTTGGAATTTGTTTTATTATCGATTTCCTATTTTGTAAAACTTTAATGAATTTTTGACTAACAAACTCAAGGATTTCAAAGCGAGCAATGGTAACGCCGTACAGAAGAAACATTTTTATCTCCAGCATGTGTGTCTCTGTATCGGAAATTCTAAAGATATGCTCATTTTAAAACTATTTAGCAATACTGCTGCTGAACTGAATTTTATGGTTTAAGTGCGAAGAACGTAATATTTAATAAATAAATGCAATACACAAAATGGAAAAAAAAAAAAAAAAAAAAAAAAAAAAAAAAAAAAAAAACACCTTGGAAGTAATTTAAAATCTGAAACATTACAGTTTTTTTTTTTAACTGTGTTAACAAGGCTTTATTATGTGGCCTATACTGAAAGGACTGCAGTGTTTGATTCATGGTAGTCAAAAGTCTTTAATCCGGACTCATCGGGACTTCAGCGATTCCGGATTATAGATCATCAGTTTAAATCTGGTAAGATGGCATGCAGAAATTATAAAATTAAAAATATGAAACCGTAATTTATGAAATAAAGAGCAATTATGATCTACAGGGTATATAAATTTACAAAAAAAAAAGCTTTATATTTATTTGTTTACTTTATTAAACATTTCTTTTAAAGCGTGCATGCGTAAAGCATTACGCAATGTCGAAATTAGAAAATTGCAACCAGAAAACTATTTGATGTGTATTCGTGATATTTATAATGACAAGGAATTTGATTTAAATTATATCAAAGACGAACTACATCGAGATGAAATACTACATTTAGTAAGAAATTATAAGCCGAATAAAATAAAAACATCTGCCCTGAAGATAAGGATAGTGCTGACAGATCAACTTCCAGTTCATTGCGTGCCGCGTCGTCCCCCCCGCAGAGCAGTGTGAAATGTGAAATTGATAAACATATTTCGGAATGATTAGAGAATCAAAGGATATGCCTTTATCCATTTTTTGCAACAATTCCACTTTTTGTTTGATGGACATCGAAACATGTTTTCGCTTTGTAGGTCCTTTGGTAGCTCCAGAATCAGAAATTCTTTTTGACATAATCGAAAGTTCAAGCTTACTTTTATAAAATTGCTCTAACATTCTGCAAAAATTAATAAGCCGGATCTAATTAGAAGATTAAGGAACAACGCAATCTGCAACATTAACTGAAATAGATAATTAGATAATTTTAGCTTAGCTTATACCGTCCGTTATACATTAAACGCGCATGCGTAAATGTATTATGCACATGCGTAGACGCATATGCACATGCGTAAAGGTATTATGCACATGTGTTAACGCAATATGTGTTGATGCATGCGCAGAATGTTTGTAGCTTTGAGGTCCGGATTATGGACGTCCTGATTAAAGACTTTTGACTGTATTACTTAATAGCTTATCATTTACTTACAGTAAGAAAAGGGAAAAAAACTTATTCAGAAGAGTAGCACATCATACCTCATCTAATACACCTTCTCTACTTCCTCTAAGAACTTTCACTTCTTCTGATGTCAGATGAAAAGTATCCAAAAATGCTTGAGCAACTTCTTGCTTCATCTGAATTTTCTGACTGAAACAATATCATAAAAAAGCCCACAAAATAACATAATAAAATACTTACATACTGTACCTTCAGAAGGTGAAAGGACATTTAAAAAGGGAAGCAAATGCATCATGTTAGTGTAGAAATAGTATACAAGTGGATAATGAAAGCATGGAATAAAATTAAACCTGATGTAATTTAAAATTCATTTAAAAATATAATATTTCTAACAATCTAAATTCAATAGATGATTATTTAGTTGCGGAGCAGAGTAACGATGATGGCAAAGATGAAACAGAATTCGATGAAGCTATAACAGAAGACGAATGTGACAAACATATCATGTTATCCAATAATGAAAAATTTTAAGTTCATAAACTGTGCTCTTTCTTATAAATAAAAAGCACTTACGCACACACTGAAATCTAATTTTTGTATGCTCATCTTTACCTAATTTTTATATATGGCACATAACACACAGCCAAAAATTGCGATCTTATTTCTGTATTAGAAGTTTGCATTATATGCCGGAATATAAGGAATGCGAGACCAAAAAAAAAAAAAAAGCAATTATGAATTATATATTAAATTAGCAACTATCCCTTAATTTCTCTTTTCAATTTTGGGTGGACCTCCCTTATCAATTTACTGTCACATTTATCATGTCAACAACATGGTTTTCCTGTGTTTGGAAATTCTAATGCAAAAAGCCATCTGAAATTAATTTTTTAATGCATTACCTGTCTAATATTACAGATAGCTCTTCAGATCCTCAACTGTGTAATGGAATTAAACAGCAATATATAGCAGAGAAAAGGGAAAAAAAAATTGTTTTTCAGCTGTAATGCTTTACCAGTGCTTAAAAATTAATCACACATTGTATTTACAAAATGAAAGTAATCTTCTGATATGTTCAAGAGTGCTTTGAAGGTCACTGAAATGTGCAGCTTCCTCCAGCTCGTATGCAAATAAATTAGGTTATTTTGTAAGATATTTCTCCCACCTTCCTAGCATGCCTTCGTGGTTCTGCACACTGGGCTGGTATTCCAGAGGTCTGTGGTTCGATTCCTGGTGAAGGCGTTGCTAATTTTTCCTCTCTCTTGCTTCCAAAAAATCATAATGTCTCTACAGTGGTGCCCAAACTAAAAAGGTTGTTGGATGATGATTCTCTTCACCCAGGATTTGGTGATTGGGTACCCTGAAAACCCCAGTTGCCCTTTAAAAAGGGGAGTACATAAGGTATTTCTCCCACCTTCTTAGCAAGCCTTCATGGTGTAGTGGTTCTGCATGCTGGGCCGGTATTCCAGAGGTCCGTGGTTCAATTCCCGGTGAAGGCGTTGATAATTTTTCTCTCTTGCTTCCAAAAAAAAAAAAAAAAAAAAATCCTAATGTCTATACAATTTTTCACCAGTATAGGACTGAAAATTATGCCTGAGCTGTGTACTTGAAAATTATTTTCTCTTCTGCTTTTCCAATCGCTATGGTATTACAAATAATTCATTTGTCAATGGGTTCTATTCTGAAATTTTTAACATTTAATGCCACTTTATCACAATATAGAGTTTTTTTTAAGTAGCACTGCTTGATGAAAATACAAAATTAAAATTTTATAGTATCAAAAGATTCAATTTTTCAGAATTATGCTTGATAAAATTAAGTAACAAATTATATATTATATTATTTTGGGAAGGCTATTAACATGATTATTGTATTTTTTGCATTATTGTTTAAATACCTCTGAGTTAATATTTTGAATAATTGAATTATTTTAACAATTACAAAATTAAATTTTGAAACTTTGATTTTTGACTGTTACAACTTTGAATTCTAAGAATTTTCTGATTATTTTATGAATGAAGTGAATATAAACTTTGAAGGCTCCCACCTTATAATTTCTTCTAGTATAATTATTATTTTTATAACAAAGTGATTTTTTTTTTTAATATAAAATAGAATATTTTAGTGCATTTCAAAAAGGCCAATTTTCTTTAAAACAAGGAAAGAAGTACTTTTAAAGGTAATTGTCTAGCAACTCTTGAGCACTGATGACTATTCATACTTCGGTTTCTTTGAGTGGATTTGACCTTAAGATGAATATGTGTATTTAGAGAAAGCTGTGGGGTCTTCTCGTTTTGTAAAAATAAGTAAATAAGTATTTTAACAGAATTCCATAACTATATACTAGAAATATTCTTATTTTATACTGATAATAATATTTACATTTTATGAAAGATTTTCACAAGACTGCAAGAATTTAGATGATCTTCCAGCCACATCAAGAACTTTATTTAAAAAAGAACTTGTATTTTACAGACTTTCAAATTGGACTTTAAATTTAATTTACATATTATATCATGCATTATTCTAATATTTCTAAAATACATCTTGAAACAATTCATTGGCTTTCACTAGAATTACATATATTTTACAAATTTCTCTTTCTGTGCTTCTGCTCTAATGTTTTTTTTCTATCACCAAGCCTTTTTCTCTTTGAATGGGGATATGTAAGATAAAAAATATAAATATGAATTGTACATTAAATTAGCAATAGATCCTTAATTCCTCCTTTCAATTTGGACACTTCCTCCTCTCTATTCTAAAATTAGCAAAAGCTTTTTCGAAACTATGTTATATCTGAAAACCAATTCCGCATTGTGTCATCCTAACTTTCTGCATTCCATATAGTTCTTAGCCAATCAGATTAAAGATAAATTTTATTGTAAATACCACTGCAATCCAACTATGCTCTCTCTTTTGCTCTTCATTCTTGTTCTAGATCCTTGCACCATTCGGGTCTGTGTATCATCCATTGTTTGAAGATGGGTTAAGTTTTAAAACTGTGGGCTACATACTGCACCCATAATTCTGTATGAAGCAATTGTGTTGCCAAAAATGTTTTATCCAATTATAAAATTATGTTGAATTTCGCCACATCTGTCTACAAGTCCATCATTTCCATCTATACGGCTCTGTCAGTCTATGTGCACAATTTAAGAATCAACAAGTCATCTACATCACCAAATCATTACAGATATATATACTTAATTTATACATTATTATCTTCAGTTCTCATCAGAAAACTTTTAAGTCAAATGCCACATAATTTAGTTACCGACACAGGAACATTTCTCAAAATGTTATAGTTTTTACTAGAACAGTAAACTTCTATTATTTGAAGTTTATATCTATTCAGAGCATATGTTGCTTTGCTCTTCTCAGAACATCAATATATAAATAGAAGAATATACAATGCTTGGGATAATGTATGCCACTTTATCCAGGAATGTACTAACCAATCCTAAAAGGAAACATTTCTATCTAAAATAAAGATTACTTTAGTTCCCTTTTCCTACATACTTTTCTCTTAAATTATACTCTCATAAAAAACAAAGCTGAGATCTGTGGCATTTTAGCAAATGGTAATGGTGTAAATTATCCATACTGATTGCAATTTACAAATATAAAGATTTGTTAACTGGTTTTGACAAAGCACATAATGTCCATTGGACCATGGGAAGGGATGCAAGCCTTGTTGAGAAATGTCCCGAAAGAAAATTACGTTACATGGACAAAAACTATGAAAACTTCAAATAGCTAGATAATTCACACAGGACTTTCAAGGTGGAATGCCAGTGTTCAGCAATCTTATTCCTTAAGCCAAAAGAGAACTTACAATCACTTCAAAGAATAAAAGTTAACAAAAGAAGATCTTAAAATCTCAATGAGTATTTTCTTTGCCATCAACACAAATTAGTTTTTGAAATGGGGTTCAGTTATTCTGGTGAAATTACAATACTTATAAATCTGCATTGCAATAATTACTCAATTCACATTTTATACTACAGTCATAAGTCGTTAATCTGGACTCATCGGGACTTCGGCGATTCCGGATTATCGATTTTTCCGGATTATAGATCATCAGTTTAAATCTCGTAAGATGGCATGCAGAAATTATAAAATTAAAAATATGAAACCGTAATTTATAAAATAAAGAACAATTATGATCTAAAGGGTATCAAAATTTACAAAAAGAAAAAGCTTAATATTTATTTGTTTACTTTATTAAAAAGTTGTTTAAGTTGCTTCGTTTCATGTGATAATACTTTCTCTTTAATTCTATTAAACAGACATAATTTCTTGTTCAGTTACAAAGTTCCGCTGTTCAAGTCCTATAATTGCTTTGTCTAGAATACCAACTAATTTGTCAATCAAAATGTTTTCGTTTTCAATTACCTCTGTGTCACTTTCTTCCCTATCGGAAGCGAATTATAATGACGAGAAACTTGATTTAAATCATATCAAAGACGGAGTACATTGAGATGAAATGCTACATTTAGTAAGAAGGAATTATAAGCCAAATAAAATAAAAACATCTGCCATGAAGATAAGGATAGTGGTGACAGATCAACTTCCGATTCATAGCGCGCCGCGTCGTTTCCCTCCCCCCGCAGAGCAGCGTGAAATTGATAAACATATTTTGGAATGATTAGATGATCAAAGGATATGCTTTTATCCATTTTTTGCAGCAATTCCACTTTCTGTTTAATGGACTTCGAAACATACTTTTGCTTTGTAGATCCTTTGGGAGCTCCAGCATCGGAAATTCTATTTGACATAATTGAAAGTTCAAGCTTACTTTTATAAAATTGCTCTAACAGTCTGCAAAAAATAATAAGTCGGATCCAATTCGAAGATTAAGGAACAACGCAATCTGCAACATTAACTGAATTAGATAATTTTAGCTTAGCTTATACCGTCCGTTATATATTAAACGTGCATGCGTAAACGTATTATATGCATGCACACACGCATATTCGCAGCCGTGAAGATCTTACACGCACGCGTAAACGCCTATGCGCATGCGTCAACGCGACGCATGCACATAAAGTTTGTAGCTTTGATGTCTGGATTATGGGTGTCCGAATTAACGACTTTTGACTGTAATGAATTTAAATTTTTAAGATGTAATAATGATGCTTGATTTCTCTAGAATAGACTTTTTTTTATCAATTTACACACTTTTATGCTACCAGAATATTTATCATTCACGCAGTGCATTACTGTTAACATTGCACAAGAAATAAGATTTTTTCTTTATTTTGCAGCTTCATAAATAGAAAATGAACACAGTGTTCCCCCAATATGGCATCTTTAAACACTTAGAATTTATATCAGTAATTGCTTTATAAAATAAAATATTCTCATTATCAGTAAGTGTTGCCATTTGAAGAGAGTTAGAACCATAAATCTTTAATTTTCACACAGTCTAGAAAATAAACAGTTCTCAGATTTCTGCCATTTAACAGACCATAAGAAGTTTATCCTTTAAATTAAACTGCGACTGCTTAATAAATTTTGTAATTAAAAGCAAAATAATAATAATAATAAATGTAATTTTTTACATTTAAACGTTTTTTATTATTTTTGATAACATAGTTAACTCATATATTGATAATACATACAACAAATAATTTTTATAACATATGTAACATCATAGTAAACAACATTAAGATTTTTCAACAATTGTATATCCCATATCTTTGTACAAGATACTTGCGAGTTTTTTTACGTTTTATTGATAAATTTTTCATCGAATATAAATATTTTTTCCCACTCTTAAATGTTTTTAATTTAGGCAGAACACATCTGGTCATTTAGATACAAAATTACAGTATGCATTTAATTAAGTATTCAAACAGCCCAATTATATATCACTGCATTGTATGCATTTACAATCATGACTGAATGTTTATATTCACCATATATTGTCAAAAATATTACAATTTTTATTGGACATCATTGTTAAATTTTAGAAAGCAACTTCTGGATTCTTAATCTCATACTAAAAAGTAGAAACAATGTACTTTAAATTTTAAAATTGCAATTTTTAGAATGCAGTTAAATGTATTATGAAATTCAATTTAAAATCAAAATAAAATAAAGATTCATACCACAGATTAATACAAATTAATTCTACTTGATATGAAAAAAAATAATAATATAAGTTTAAATTCTCACCTTTCAGCTTGCAACTTTGTAGTTTCATTAATCAGATCATGTGTTTGTAACTTTGTAACCTAAGAAAGAAAAATAATTACTATTCATATGCATTAAAATTTACCTTTAGATACCTGTCCTCAAAATTTTACATCAGATTACAGGGACTTTTGCATTTTTCATATTTTATGTATAAAAATCATGTATGCAGTTTTATTTCACATCTTGTTACTAAATAGTCCTTGCTTAGATAGTAGATAGATTTACATTTGACTTTTGTTAGCTTAGTTACAATATACGAGGAAAAGTAAAAAATTATCTACACTTTTGTCATAACTTTTCTTACATTGAGCATTTTGTCTTCTATCTTCGCATATTTTATTGTTATACTGTTGTGGTAATGCTGTGAAAGTTTGATCTTAATTCCTCCATTTTTCTTCCTTCTGTTGTAGATATATCATGGTTGCTCCGTTAGAAATTTGCACCAAAGAGGAACAACGAGCAGTAATCTGATTCCTCTGGTTGGAGGGTTTCAAAGGGTCAGACATTCATCACAGACTATCATCGCAATATGGGAGAAGTGCACCATCACGTGAAACTGTGTTTTGACAAAGCGTTGACAGACCCTAACATGAGTGAGCTTGTGTTCTGCAGTAAGCTTTCTTGGTACCCACTGTGCACCTTATGAAAACTGAGCTCGTTGTGGATGAATTGATGGGCAGAGCCATGACCGATATTCAAAGCAGATGCTACCTCATTGATAGCGATTCACCTATTCATGTCTGACCCTTTGACACTCTCCGAGCAGAGGAATTGGATCACTGCTTGTTGCTCCTCTTTGGTGCAAACTTCTAACGGAGCAGCCAATATAAATCTGCAACAGAAGGAAGAAAAATGGAAGAATAAAGATCAAACTTTCAAAGCATTACCACAACAGTATAACAATAAAATATGAGAGGACAGAAGAATGTGTAATGTAAGAAAAGTTATGACAAAAGTGTACATAATTTTTGACTGCTTACATATTATGATGATTCCCAAGCTTTTCTGGTTGAAGATATATTTAATTGAATATTGATGATCTTGTAAGACAAATTTTTAATTATTATTATTTTATTATGAATGACCTGTTAATGTGAATTCTTTGTATAGCATGTTCCAGATTTTTCAAGACATGCTCTAAGGAAAGACATAGCAATATGCAGTTACTTTATGTTCTTTCTTACCAAATGAAGTAAAGTCTTCAGCACACTAATTACAGTTGTCAGATGCTAACATTGCACTTAAATCTAAGAAACCTGCGTGAAAATTTTTTAAGAGAACTTATAATTTAAAGTAAAAATTAATGTTTGAAGTTAGAAAAGTCTTAGTTTTTTTACTTTAGTGGTACCGTACTGCATTATGTTATTTAAGATAACCAGATTTCTGAGCATCACTTATCAGTCATGCAGCAAGGTAAATTACCAATTCTATAACCTGTTGCCATTTCATGTGAAATAAATTTTCAACTTCATTTTTTTCACATTATGATAGTATATTGTTTAAATGAAACTAATTTGAAAATAATATACCCGTATGATTGTAACCTTAATATCATAAACCTACTATTACTAAAAATTAAAAACAAAGTAGCTTTTTGAGAAGAGCCTTTCTAGATGGATTTACACATTCAAAAATTTCCTCATAAGCCTTTGAGAATTTAGGAGAACATCATAGATGGGAAACAATGATCTAATGAATATAAAAAATTAGACAAAAGAACTTTATGAAATTTTTTTCTTTGGTCATAGACTCTTCAAAAAATAAATTTATATGGGATCAGTCAGTAAACTTAGATATAAATGGGTATTTGTTTCTGCTGTAAATTTTGCAGCAATTTCTTTTCTAAAAGATTCAAACCATTATTCCTTTATCCCTTTTGCAGCAAAATACTGTATTACTGCAGAAATTTCACCTCTTTTTTATAGAAAAAAACCACAAGCATTAATTTTAAAATCATGTTTAAGACAAAAAAATAATCATAATTTTTCTATAAAAACCATTGGAACTTGCAATATAACAAAAAGAATGCATACGAAAACAGCGATGTTGGAAACTGAATATTTGTCATGCTTATAGTTGCCTGAATAATTGCTATATGCGTGGCTAATAGTTTGGTGTATTCTGAAATTCTGGTGAATTCTACTAAGGTGATTGTGATAACACTTAATTTATGGATAAATTTATCGCTAACATGTACATTTCTATTAAAGCTTTTAAAGTTAATCTGCAAGTAATATTAAATTACAAACTGCAAAGTTTAAAGTTAAATTGCAAACACTGAAAATAAAACTGAAATACAAAAAGTTTCAAAATTTTTTTTCTTAAACCCTAACCTATTATTCCAAATAAAAAATCTCAACAATATGCAAGAAAATTACCTTTATGACAAGAATTTGAAGGTATATTTAAGGAATTTAATTACTTGGAGTCTGATTTTAAATTATTTTCATTACCTTTGAAAGTGGAGGTGAATAATATACCAGAAAATCTACAAATGGAACTAATTTACATTCTGAATTTACACTATAATTTAAAGTAGCGTAATTTACAGTCTGTTATAAATCTTGTTCAAAGATCCAAAGATGCAGACTTGATTAAGTTTTATTCATACTGGTCAAAAGATAAATATCTTCATTTGTGAATTTTTCCTTCATTTGTGAATAATAATTTCCTTTGGAAGACATATATGTGAATAGTTTTGTCCCACAGCTGAAAATTAACAAGTCTAACAAAAGGGCCTGATTACCAATGAACATCTACGAGTTCATTGGTAATCAGGCCCTTTTGTTAGACTTGTTAATTCTCGTATAATCTGTCATGAAGATAAGTTTCTAGTAATTTTTCTCCAATTTGCAGTCTTGGAGAAAAATTATTATTTTAGGCTGAAACATCATTAGGTGCCAAGATGTAGTAAAAAACAGAATAATAGATCATTATTTACATACAATGAAATGCATTTTTTCTGCACATGTCAATAAAATATTTAATACATAAAGGAAACAGAACAGGCTGTCATTATTTATTCTTTCAAGTTTTGCTCCACTCGGGAAGTTTTCTGTAAAAATTAGGTACGTTTTCATAATTTTATTTTAAGTTTATGTTAAAAGTTAAGCTATTTAGTGTTTGTTTTTTTTTTTTTTTCCCAACATATCACAGTAACTTGAAAAAAGTGCTACTAAAAGACTAAAAATTTAATATTTAGCTACTTTTACATCTGAATTATGAAATAAAACCAACAGAAATATGTTGGATAGAAAGGAACTGCGCTATTTTTTACTCTTAATTTATGTGGTGACGGCAGTATACAGATTCTAGTTCAGATAATTTTAGGAAATTTTTGGATGCTGTTAAGGAATTTTATTTGATTGAGGCATGTTAATTCGTAAATAAGGTAAGTGGATATTTCCTTTGTATAGTGCTAAGATGAATTTCTTTTTTTATGTTATTTCGTTGTTTGATTTAAAATGTAGCTTATTGAGAATATATATTTTTTTAATTGCCTGCACCTTTGGCATTTTAAAGTGAATATAGTTTGATGTGTACATGGACAAAGTGAAGGGAGTGTGGAATTATATGGTTTTTTTTAAGTGAAAAAAGGTCATTGTGTACATGGATAAAGTAATGGGAGTGTGCAATGCCAAGTTTGTGCAATTCTCTGATTTTTTTTTTTTTTTTTTTTTTTTTTTTTAGGGAAAATAGGTTGATGTGTACATGGATACTCAGTTTGTGTAATTCTTTGTCTCGTTATTTTGGCTTTGTGTAGTGGCGATTTTTTGCGCAAAATTCGCCACTACACAAGCCAAAATAACAAGTCAAAGAATTGCACAAACTTGGTATCCATGTACCACCAAAAATCGCCAAGGGGTACCCGTAAATATATTTTTACCCTATGGTTTATTTTAATATGGCAAAGTACTTGATATCTATCTGTTAAACAGAAGGGATGCCTTTGCAAAAGACTTTCTAAGGGATATTTGCTTGCATACATGTTACACATGGAGAAATCCATGAAAATACCCACGCAGACAGCCTATTTGCCAGGACTCAAACCCTGGTCTGTACTACCCATGGAGGTAGGAAAGGGAGGAGGGGCCATTCCGTGCTAGAAGTGAAGCACTGCTTTGAAGTTTGGATCACCAGACGGGGTGTTTCTTTGTTTACATTCAGAAGCTCGCTTGACAAGATTCTGATAGTTTTCGACACACGACAGTTCCATAGAAATCGAAAAGGACACTCTCGCATGAAAGAAACATTCATGTGTGATGGATAATAGCAATTTTGTATAGTTTACTGACATTTACGCAAAAATCACAATCTTGGTTTTTTTTTATAACTAACAACAGCGATTTTTGATTATAATTTGTTTTATAAATTCTAAGCTGTGCACTACAAAAATATAGATTTTAAGAAAATGTTATGCTTAAGAATGAAAATACTTTCGGTACATTTAAAATTGCATACGTCTTCGATACCCTTGATAGAGTATTCGCTACTCTTATTTATTTTCCAAACGTCAAAATGTTTTAAATGAAACAAATTTTTTTCACATCCATATATTATTGTAACATGTACCTTTTAAAATTTTTTAGAGAAGAGGCTTTACTGCTGCTCATTTTTAAACCCATCATTTTAATTTTATATATCTGAAAATAATCACTTTGGGCTTACACTTTTACTTATTTGGGTTAATTAAAAAAAAAATTACCATCAAATGCTGCAAATCCTCGTCAAAATTAATAAATACACGACAAGTTAGTTTTCCCTTCATTTGGAACCACACATTTGTGTAAAATTATGTACAGTTTTACACAAATGTGTGGAACAGAAAAGGGATACATTTGCGAATTTGGCGGAAGTACCATGTGCGGTCAAGATGATGTGACCATGCAAACGTGCTACATCATCAAGACAGCTTATTCAGAATTTGAAAATAGGGTAATCGACGGAGGTGAAAACATTTGTATATCCTGCCAAAGGAGGTCCGATCATGAATGGTCCTCTTATTGATTCCAGATTGTTAAATGTTTCCCACGCAAGTCTTTTTTTCTTGGAAATTCGAGTTTTATGCTGGCTTCTTAACGTACGCACGTCTCATTCATAGACAAGGAATGGCTAACTGGAGTATTTTACAATATTTGCTCTCAGTATCGTAATTAAAAAGTGACGAAATTTTCGAGTCTCAATTAACTCTCTCCTGAATTAAAGATTTCTCTGACAAATTGAGAACCAGTGACAGAAAAGGAATTGAATACCGATACCGTGTATTAAAGAGTATTCAGCATGGGAGCTTGCTGTGCTTATGGGTGCACAAACAGATCTTCAAAGCCGATTCCAGGCATAACATTTCACAGGTAAGCAAAGATTTAATTTCATTTTTTATTATATGATAGATTTTAATTAATTAAGAAAATATAGACGGATAAAATGAATGAAGATAACTTAATAGCAGTGTAGTGTAATATTTAAGAACCGCTTATAAAAAAATGTTAGTGAAAGCAGAGTTAAAACGTTCCTCCAACAGTAATTGCCTCCCTCAGGCAAATATACCAATACTTAATATCAGCAGCTTTATCTCGCCTGAGCAAACTATTAATTTGACATCAATGGAACATCGTCTCCAAGATGATGATAATTCATCACCTATAGCTATTAATCCTGAAGAACACGATTACATGTTTCATCCAAATGCTTTAAGTTTATGTGCAGAACAAATAGTTTATTACATAGCTGGTTATGTTGTTCACAGAATTTCTGCAAAAATTAAATGTGCTTCCTGTGTAAGTGCATTATATGGGCAGCAGTCTACTATCTGCTACAAATCGCTTATTTCTTATAAAAGTAAAGGATACTTAGTTTATCCATCAATTGATGTTTTTAAAATTTGCAAATCCTGTGAAGAAGGATTTAGGTATTTTTTTAACTTGAATGGTGGAAAAATTATTAAGCACAAACACAGCATTTTAAGAGTAGAAATACTAGTATTAAGTAAACTGGAAGGACAAAGCCTATTCACATCTTTAAATGAACATTTGCTTGAAACTGATCCAGTGCATAATCACATTTTACATTTAATGAGAGCAATTATTAAACAATATTTGCAAATAAGGTACTTTTATTTTTGCAAAAATGTTGTAAATAGCTCAGTATCTATGCGTCAGTTGAACACAAAACTTATCTTATTTCATGGTCAGTGATTAATAGAGTTAATTTTAAGTGAAAAAATAAAGTTTTCTCTCTATTTTTTAAAATTTTATTTAACAACATGTTTAGCTGATTACTAAATGTAATAAAAAATTATGAATGAAAAATCTTTGTTATTCAATACATATACTTGAGTAGTGGTCCTCTATTTTTGAAAGTTTCAAGACATGAAAAAGTGTTATAAATTGGTATATCAACATACTTTGTATACTGTTACCTTCTGGATTACCTCACAGTATGAAAATTTCAGGTAAGTGAATTTAGATCAATTAGTTGATTTAACTGCTTTAAAAAAATGAAGCTATTATGCAGAGTAAGGCAATCAAGATTGCGATCGGATGACAATACGGTTAATTATGTGAATTGGATAGTTATTATTTATTATATTATCAAAGAAGTATTAAATTGTGTAAAATTGCTAAAAGAGATCTGCCAAAATTTATTTTCTAGAAGATTTGAAAAGTTTGAAACTTGATGGCTAAATGTAAATATAAAATTATGTATGTTAAATATTTGTAATTAGGCACATAGGTCAGATTAAGTTTTTATTAAATAGAGTAACGCATGCAAGGGTTATCTGCCTAAAGAGAGAGATGCCATCGTGGAGGAATTTTGAAGAAAAACTGACCTTTGAGTGGGTATTAAAAATAATACTTATAATTTTCATTCAAATTATATTCATATATATTTTTTATGTAAAACTTTCGGGTGTATGCTAAATTACTTTACATGAAAAATATGTAAATTACTTTACATGAAAAATATAGTGAATGCACAGAAATTAAAGATTTGCACATGCCGGAAATGATAAATAGAAAATATGTATGGGTAATTTATGCATGTGCTTGCAAAAAGCATGTATCTGCCTTTGACAAAATACTTAAATATTCATTAAATTATTTATAAATGTATTTGAAATGAAGAATTTATTCACTTATAAACAACTGTGAAAGTACTGTGAAGAAATCTAATGATTAAATGTATCTAATTTATAATGATATAAATGTTATCTAAATATATAACCTTAATAAACATAAATTGAAATCCTGTTGACAAATACGTTTAAAACTATTTAAGCAAGAATTGTACGTATTGGAAAGCAATCTGTTTAAAGGTATTGTAAAGCAATGCTATGAGCTGCGCACTTAAGAATGTAATAAAGAGTTTTGGAATATGTATTGTTGAAATGAAGGGTAAAAAAAAAAAAAAAAAAATAAAAAACTAAATAAATTTAAAAAAATTATTCCCTTTACATTTTTAATAACTCAGTTACAAGTTTTAAATAATACATAAAAAAAAAATAAAAAAAAAAAATTATTTTATTCCCTTTCAGAAATGTTCAGAGAAAGTCAAATACTATTTAATACCTATTTAATTATTAGGAATTAGCGAAATACTTATTTAAAGTATTTCGCTAATTCCTAATAATTCTCTAATTTAAAATGAACCGAATAGAGCATTAATTATAAATTGACTTACATTTTTCGATTTAAAAGATGCCTCAGAAGCCAAAAAATCATGTTATATTTAAGAAAGTATTTTAGGAAGAAGCTCTATAAATAGAAAAGAAATAATAATACAATAAACTTTGATCTTAATTTTTGTACCTTAACCGAATAAAATCGAATTACCTTAATTTTTTTTTCTAATGTAATTAGCGAAAACTTGTGAAAATATTTCATTCAAATTAAACCATTCTGAGAAAACTGTCCTGTGAAAAGTATAGCATTTAATTCCATTCAGAATGAAATGTTGTTTAAAAATATATTTTCACATACTTAGGACTCTGAAGTGTTGTAGAAAAAGAAAATATATACATTTATATGTATATTTGCGACGTAATTACAAAATATTTACACCCGAACGCGTCAAATCCCATAGAACTCAATGGTAAATGACCCAATGTTTTGGTCACCACGTAGGGATCGCCAGTGCTTCAGACCAGGGTACGGAGAAACTTGTTTAGGGCGACTCCTTCTTACTTCCTACCTCCATGGTACTACCAGAGTTCAGTGACTTTACCACTTGGCCGCTTGTGGGCTCCACTGGAGATAAAGGCTGCCATCAGTTATTAGTGACTAATAGATCACTTAAATCTAATAATTCAGGAATTCACATACCTCCAAAGAAAAGACTAAGAAACTAAAGAATCGTGTTCCTGATTTATGTAGAGAAACACTGGCTCAAAATAATTCAAGGAGCAGATACAACTCTAGAAATTCCCCAAAATTCAAATTACCTAACTTAATAAATCCTTTTAACAGAAAAAGTATACATGACATTAGCATTAAATAAAACAAAAATTTTAAAAACTTTACTCACTTTCAGCCTGTTCATCATATCATTACAACAGTCATTCATAGCAGAAACATCTTCATACAGGCTATCCAGTCCCTATCAAGATTTATAAATTTTATAACACTGCAAGCAATTAATTAGTAAATTTTATGAAATTATAGGGAGAACAAAAAAAATGGTTTATGAAATTATGACCTCTTTCAGCTCACGAAATGAATCTAAGAATTCTTCATTGACTTTCAAGCTGCGTTTCTCAATTTCACTACGCAAATTTCTTCTATTCTGAATACTATTTTCGGTGAAAAATGTAGATAAATCTTTGAGGGCATCTAAAGTTTCCTTAAAAATAAAAGTAATAGAGTAGAGTTAAGATTAACTTCTTAAGTAAATTATCATAAAATTAATTCACATTTTAAGATACAGTGATCTCCATACATTATTATCATATAGAAAATTATGAATATACATGAATGAAAATACATAAATGAAAAAAACAATGCATTTATGATAGTTAATTCAAATTGCTAGAAGTTACATTTACCGAAAACGGAAAGTTAATATGGTACGGTAATTACAAAAAGATACAAAATATTGGCATATAAATTTTAACATCACTGCAACAAATCAATGTTCATAGAATTGATACATTTTATAAAAATTTAAAACAAATACGGTAATTTTTACTTTGTCAGTGTCTAGACGTGCTTCTAAAAGTTTATTTAATTTTCTTGACAGTGGATTAGATGTTCTATCAGAATTCAATTCCAAAATATCACCGGCAGAAACATCATTAAGAGCCATGTTTTAAAGAGAAAATACGACACACAGTTCAGAAAAGTAAACAGTCGCGTCGTTGTTTTACTTCTTTTTGCCATGTTCGTCAGAAAAAAAACAATGGACTTTAGTTTTACAAATGATCTCTTTTAAACATTAAAATAATCTGAAAAAAACTCTTAAGAATACAGGAGTATTAATATGTTTATTATAATATGCTTATTAATAAATTTAAAAAAATAAGAGTGATTAAAGGCTTTTAAAAATTTAGGAAGATAATTGTGATTTTATTTAACTGTATTTGTGACTGACAATTTTGTTTTGAAAATTCCGCAGCACGTGTTTGTTATTTTTGCTGTGAATTTGTTATTTATATTACTAACACATTTAAGTGATATCATTACCTTTTAATCATGGGAAAATCAAAAAAGTCTTCTGTTGAAAATGACGTTGAAGAAAGCATGGAAACATCTACTGCAGAAGAAACACCTCGATTATCATACGAAGACCAGTTAAATCATGTAAGTGTTATCGCATCTCCAATGGCTTCTAAGAAGTTAGCTAAGAAACTTTATAAATTGATTAAAAAAGCATCAGAGCAGAAAACATATTTGCGTCATGGTTTAAAAGAAGTACAATCATGTATCCGCAAAGGAGAAACGGGACTAGCCGTTTTTGCCGGTGATGTAACTCCAATCGAAGTTATGTGCCATATGCCAGCAGTATGTGAAGAAAAGAATATTCCTTACGTTTATACGCCGTCGAGAGACGATTTAGGTCTTGCTATGGGAGTTAAGAGGAGTTGTTTGATGGTATTAATTAAAGAACATCCAGAATATAAGGAACTATATGATGATTGTAAAAATCGTATGAAAGCTATAACAATTTCAGCTTTGCTGTGAATGATTGTCTGTCTAAAATGTCTTGAATTCTGTCGTAAAATCTGTGTATGCATTCAAAGTTTTTTACTGTAATAAATATGTTTCTTAAAATTTTCAGATTGAATTTATTACCGAAAAAGCATTTGAAGAGTGAAGACATTTGTTCCACTCTAAAATGATTTGTATTTTAAATATCAAGGTAAGTTGAAAAAAAAGTATCTAAATTGAAAGTGGTCCAATTTGAATTTGGGAACAAAAACTGAAAATGAGCTTGTTGTATGGATTGTGATAAAATTTTGTTGTTTCAAAATATGCTATTACTCTTATTTTCAATTTAAGCAATTCTTTTGCCTTTCAGTGGGGTATTCCCCCTCCCTTTTTTGTTTTCTTCCCCCCCCTTTTCGATAAGTATTCTGCTAAGTAGCTTTCAGTAATTATCTAATAATCATACTAATGAAAAGTTTTTAACATTATGCAAAGTTCTTCACTTTTATGGAGAATTTTGCTATTTATCTGAATTATAAGGATGTAGCTTCTGTAATCTGGTAGTTATAGAAGGTATAAAATCTGTGTGTAAATAAGAATTCAGCTTTACTGCCACACACACCAAAAGAAAAGAAAAAAAAAAAAAAAAAACTTGTAAGGATATTTAGCAGAAAAAGAATGCTGTTATGGAATAAATCTTAAAAGTTCAAAGACATTATTAAAAAATTTAATAAGGCTGTTTTCATCATATTCAAGAGTTTTGGTATTTTCTTAACATTATACAAATGTTTGTTACATATTTGAGAATTTAGTCCAATTTATTAAGCAGGTTAAGATAAAAGGTATTAAAACAGGCAGTATAATTTTAAATGGGTACTTTCTGATTATCTGCATCTTTAACAAAAAATCATTGCATTACCATCTGTGTAAAATCCTTGTTTGGCTATCGTTACAGCTCATAGGTACTTTTCTATACATAAATAGTTGCAAAAAGGAGCAACTTTATGAGAAAAAACTGTATGGCTAATACTTACATTTTTATAGGTAGTAAATTAAAAAACACTGATCATTAAATATAAATTGAGTCCGTGCATACTTGAACATGGATGGTACACATGTATATTTAAAAGTGTGGCAATTGTATTGAAACTGGAAATGTGGATAGTCAGAGAGTATCTTTAAATTTTATTCTAATTTAAAAATAGCCATAACCTTGTTCACGATGTTTTGGGATACAGAAAAAAGCTCTGCATGATTTCCTTTTTGCATCTGGTTTGATTCTTGAGACAAGCCGTTTAAGAACCTAAAAATATTATATGTTAGAAATTACCAGAGTTAAAATGATATAATAGAAAACTGCTTTCAGTAGTATTTTAAATTTTCTGTAATTAGCTTCTGTGTTTTATTTTCTGTTTATACAAATTTCAAATTAGTTGCCAATTAAATGGTCTATTATTGTAACAATTTTGAGCATTTTGACATTCAGGTACATAAATATTGTTAAAATCAGCTAAGCTTGATGTACAGGAAATGATAATAAAGTAGAAGAAAAAAAAATTAAATCTATGCAAATTAAAATAACAATGGAAGAGTTAAACATACATATTCTTCCATAGGTAGTGAAACTGTCATAAAGCTGTGTGATTTAGCAACAGTTAGGCATAAATGTGACTTCATAATATATGTGCTTTCGTGGACCCCAACTGATTCTCTATAAACCATATAGAATCACGTTTTGACAGCACTCTGGTTCATTTACAGCTAGTCGAGAGAAGTAACTTCTGCTGAGCGATGGAAAACTAGCTAAATAAGATCGATAAACAGTAATAGATTGGAGCAATTACCTGTGGGAAGTTTGAAATCATTGCATTCTAAACAGAGCTTCCATTAAATTGGAAAACATAACAAAATAGTAGAAATTGGCGAGTTTTGTTTTTTTCAAAGTGCAAAATAAAACAGGATATTTTGAAAGGAAGGGTTTATCAAGAGAGACTGATGAATATTTTATTGTAGTATAAGTTGCAGAAGTATAACTTAGAATTCTGCAGTAATGACTGGCAGGATCTCTACCAACTTTTGTAGTTCAGTGGTATAATTATAAGTACCAACATTTATAATAACTAGGAGAGTAAATCTTTGTTTCTACAAAGCCAGGAAATAATTTATACTATTGGTTTACCCAGCAAAATTGATTCCTCTTTCTCATCTAAGAAAAGCTTTATTATTATTATTATTATTATTTTATTTTTACAGTAAAAAGTCCAGAATCAGGATATCTGAAACCAGAGTGAATAGATCTCCCAAACATTTTTTTCTTTTTTGAGAATTGTTTTTCATTGTAGAAATGGTAAGTCTGTCTGTCTGTCTGTATTTAATTATGGCATGCGCTATCTGCCTAAATTGCACTAGGGCTATCTGCCTAAATTGTAGAAATGGAGAGTATTGTACTTAGAAAAGAAAAAAGCAAGAGTGCCGTAAATTGATTTTTTTTTCCAAGTTAGGTACGATTTCTTTTGCCAAAAAGCATTTTACGCAATGCCATTTTTGTGAAATTCTGGGATGTTTTTTAAGTGAAAATAGGTCGACGTGTACATGGATACTGTGTATGTGCAATTTTTAAAAACGCGCAAGCAGTGGGCGATTCTGCACTTTCTCCCAATTTCACACCTAATCTTTGTCATGATTAAGCACTTTCGTTCCATAAAAGTTCTAGCATAAGCGTAATTTGGCTAGCAGATTGTTGGAAAAAATGTTGAGTAAAAAAAAAAAAAAAAAGTGCCTTTACTTCGTAAAAACAAAATGGTGTTAAAAAAAAAACTAGCAGGTTGTTGTAGCAGGGTTGGTCACCAAAAAATCGCTAAGTTACCATAATCCAAAGATTAACCTTTAAATCATCCTGTATATTTATTTTACCTTTAAATATTTGTTCCCTTGCAAACTACATTTTCATTTTGTGCCCTTAAGTTGCTGTAGGATTAGGTACTTTTTTCTTTCTTATCTATTCAGTTTTGTAGACAATACATAAAGGCTGAAGATCCATGTTTGGAATGGAGTGTTACAAGTAGTAATGGCCATAATTTCTTTTATTTATGTAGCAGTGAAGGAAGAGAAAGGAATTAGATTCTATTGAATTACATAATTTCTTGACTTCTGATTTGATGTGCCTTATTATTTTGTACTGTCTATTGTTATTAATCTATCAGAATTAAGTTTAAGAGACCAATAACATCCCTGTTTTAATCGTTCTCCAAAACTAGAGTTGAGTGATTCAGCTAATGGATATCGCAATTTTGTGTACACTGAAACAGATATAACGTAGTTTTTCCAAAGTTGATACAGCAGTAAAACCAAAGAAGAATTCTTGAAATATTCTAATATAAAATATGTGTGGTACACAAAAGTACATCTCTACAGATTTTTGAAAAATGTGGACTCGCCACCATAAATAACGCTCTGGCAGCAAAGCATTTCTTACTCACCAAATTCACCAACAGCTAATTGAGAATGCTTTTAGTAATAATATTTAAGTCAAAGTTAATTTAAAGCAGAAAATACATAATACTATTATGAAGAGTCAAATTAAGCTTATTAGATAATGCTATTTATATGATATTAAGCATTTTAAAATTATATGTATAATCAAACGAAAGTTATTGTTAAGCTGGAAAAGTGTGTAATTAGAAGGCAAAGCAAATATTTAGTGTATCTGAGTTAAAGTAATGTGAAAAAGTGTCATTTAATGTTAGGTGAAAAGGTATAATATTTAATGTATATAGATTAATGTTAGGTGAAAAAGCATATTTAGAGTGTGTGAATTAGAAGTTGGAGGAAAAAGCATGATATTAAGTATCTGTAAATAAAAATCAGCTTGTTAAATGTGATATTTAATGCATAAAAATTAAAATTAAGGTACAACTCTGATATACGCCCTAATTTCACCAAAATGTGGCGATATGTGTTCTGCACTGGTTTTTGGCGCGATTGCCTGTTGTACGGCAACCCTGTTGACGTTGAAAAATCTTTTGCTGGAGCTCGTTGGTTTTTGTCATGCTCGTTGGTTCGCGTCTGTGTCTCAGAAGGTAAAATGGTGCAAGTTGTTGAATTGAAGTTCGACAAAAGGAAATATCATTGTGGCCATCCTGTTGAGGGGCAGTGGGTATTTGGAGGTGTGGAAAGAGGGTCTGGGAGATTATTTTTAGTGGCTGTGCATGATAGAAATAGGGATTTGTGATTTTATTTATTTGTGAACCATAGTATCAATTTTCTGGATAGTGTGTCTGCCTGTTATATAAATACAATAGTGATTACGTGGCGGCATGTTGAAGGTGGTATGAAATTAGTATTTCTGCTGTTCGAAAAAGCATTAATTCATGGTAAGTGCATTTTATTTTATTCTTGTTCTTATTATGTAGAATGTTATGTTCATTGTTTTTTTAGTATGAATTTCTGTCATTAATGTTGTTTTTTTAATTGTTTGAAATTTATTTTAGTTTATTTTGTTGATTGTGCAATTCGTAGATATTTTTTTAAGTTGAAACAGAACGCTGTGTACATGGTATTCTTTGAAATTTATTAAAGCGAGGTGTGCGTAGTTCATAGATTCGTTCATTGCCTAAATTGTGCAATTCGTAGATTTTTTTAAAGTTTAAACAGGATGCTGTGTACATGGTATTCTTTGAAATTTATTGTTGTTATGTTAATTTATTAAAGCAGATGTGTGTAGTTCGTAGATTCGTTCGTTGCCTAGATTGTGCCATTCGTAGATTTTTTTTTTTTTTTTTAAGTTAAAACATATCGCTGTGTACATGGATTCTTGTCAAATATTTTTGGTTAAAAACTTTACGTTTTTGCTATCTAAAGTTTTTGTTTTTGTTTTGGATTTTTAGCTTAAATTGTGTGTTCAAAACGCGGTTTTCGCCCATGCAAAACTGCGTTTTGAACACATGCATGGGCGAAAACCGCGTTTTTGGGAGACATTTTAGGCTTAAAGTTCGAAATGTAAACAAAAAATTTAGATAGTAATATGGCAGCGTGGAATTTCTCGCCAAAAATGTTTGGCGACTTGACGGCGGATATCAGAGTAGTTCCAAAACTAACTATGGTAAAAAGCATAGTATTAAGCGCAT